TCTATGCTGAGTCCATCATGTCGTAGAACGCTTGTGCGGTTGCCTCCATCTCCTCCTTCTCACGTCCATCATCGAACTGGCCATGGTGAAAGTCTTCTAACATGTTTGCTACCCCCGCATCAGCAGCAAAAGCCTCCACCCGTGGTCTCACCACCTCCTCTCTCATACGATGGGCTTCACCATGGTGGACCCACCGGGTGTAGTCCGACGTAAATCCATTCTTCACAAGATGTTTGCCCATTTCCACCTTGTTTACCCTTCTCCTGTTTCCACATTTGCTGTAGAGACACAAAACTAGGCAATGTCCTTTAGCAGCCTTGCCAAATGCACTATTCAAGAAAGCATCGGTCTTGTTCATCCATTCTGTGGTGTAATCACTCGACTTCTCCAAATTTCCGTGTACATCCAATCGACGGTCATCCATCCTCTAACATATGTATCAATGAGTAATGTAACCATCAATTGCATCTACATGGTGTTCCTACCGCCTAATAGGTGAGGATAGGTCCTATCCCACTGCGGATGCGTAGATGAGATTAGTTTCATGTTTCACTCCTATCCGAGATGTATTTTGGCGGATTTTCCGTGTGTTCTCCAGATACATGTCCTGCCAAACAAGAGTGCGTATCCGGAGAACAACAGGGAGGTGATGCCGAAACTCTGTCTCGGACCGGAGCAGACCATGGAAACTAACCCATCTACGCACCCGCAGGCTGTCCAAAAAATGTGGACAATCCGAAACAGATATGGTCATAGATATGCAAAGATCTGCATACCTCCAACCGTATCTCTTTCGAACGGGAGACACCTAACTGGGTGACGTGATCTATGACCATGATACGGAAAGAGGGGTTATACCTAGGGTGGCGGCGGAGTCAGGCTAGCGGGGCCATGGCGGGTCGGTGTAGTGGCGAGGCGACGCGGTGCAGGCAGACCGGCATGGTGACGGGAACTCCGACTCGGCTCTGATGGGCTCTTCTCTACAAAAATGGAACAAAATACTATCATTTAAAAAATCGACAGAACCTCCCCTACACGGTGAGGTTTCCAAAACCTGCAAAAAACAACGGCACGATGGCCGACAATCACATATATCTCAAGAGAAGCCATGTAGTTTGGATATCAATCCATGCAGAAGAATATATCCAAGTAGTACCACTACTTGTACTACTACTTTCACTATTGCTACTACTACTACCATTGGTTCTTCTACTACTACCACTATTGCTACAACTAATACCATTAGTTGTACTACTACTACTACCACTAATTCTACTACTAATACTACCACTAGTTGTACTAATACTACCACTAGTACAACTAATACTACTACAACTACCACTACCTCGACAATAATAAGTGAGAAGGCATACCGACGGCATGATGGGGTAGTGGCGGGCGCTGCCGGATCGGGAGGAGTCGGGACGGGTCGAGCACGGATGGCGTCAGGCGGGTGGTCCACGGGCGCACCGGGCGCAGGGCCGGCCGAGGTCGTAGGCTGCGGCGAGAGGAAGGGCCACCGGGGAACCGGCGTGGCTGGGCGCTGGCAATGGCGGTGGCTGGGGGGGGAAGGCCGGCACGGGCACGGCAGGGCCGGGCAGAGGCACAAAGGCAATGGCGGCGGCCGGGCGGGGCAGGCAGCCGAGGGCACCTGCATGGGGCTGGCAGAGCTGGCGCTGCGGCGCAAGGCGGCGTCCGGCGACGCGTGGCGCGGCAGGGCGGCGCGTGTCAGGTGGGCGTGGGCGGCCGGCTGGCGGCATGGTAGCATGGCGCTGCGGGCAACGCAATGGGCCGGCGCGCTGGCGGGCGGCAAGGCGGGCGGCGCGGCGCGCGCTAGGGCGTGGGCGGTCAGGTAGCGCTGGGATGGCTGGCGAAGATCGCCGGCCGGCAAAAACCGCTAAGTCCGCTGCTTTTGCCGAAAAGCCGGATCGGGGGAGGCACTCTAAGAAAGATTTGTTTTTTAATTTCTTTGCCGAGTGCCCCGATCCGCACTCGGCAAAGATTTAATTTTTTTTATTTTTTTGCCGAAGTGCCTCTGATCCGGGCGCTTTCGGCAAAAAATTTTAAAATTTTAAAATTTTTTTCTTGCGAAAGTGCCCTGGGACTTGGCACTTTCGGCAAAATTTAAAAAATTATTATTTCTTTGCGAGCTCAGTGGATGCACTCTTTTTTTTTTAAAGCAATTAAAAAAAAATTAAAACATTCTTTTTTTGAGTTGCATCCATGATTTATTTTTTACTTTTAAATTTTCCTAAATTTTCCGAAATTATTTGAACTGCACGGGTACGTAATAATGGAGTTTAATCATTCAAAATTGATAGTCATTTAGTGAGTGTTATGAGAGGTCAGATTCAGAACGGACCAAATCTGATATCACATGTGGAGATGTCCGGTCCGCTCTCGATACGGCCTCTCATAACACTCACTAACATGACTATCAATTTTCAAATCATTAAACTCCATTATTCGCATTCACGGCAGCTCAAATTTCTAATTTCCAAAAATTCAAGTAAACGAAATAAAGTAACTAAATATAACAAAAGCCACAAAAAGTCCCCAAATTGTAACTAGGAGTTCCCCGGTGCTTTAAAAAGGCCGCACAAAAAAATTGGAGGCCAAAACAAAAAAAAAAAAAAATTCTTTGTTGAAAAGTGGGCATGGCACTTAAGAAGGGTGTCTTTGCCGAAAGCCCACCATCGCACTCGACAAAGAATGTTTTAATTTTTTTTATTTTTTCTTGCCGAAAGTGCATCCATATGAGCACTCGCAAAGAAATAATAAAAAAAATTAAATCTTTGCCGAGTGCCGTCCATAGGGCACTCGGCAAAGTATTTTAAAAATAAAAAAAATTTCTTTGCCGAGCGCCAGATATAAGACGCTCGGCAAAGAATTAAAAAAAAATTTAATCTTTGCCGAGTGCCAGATCTGGGACACTCGGCAAAGACATTAAAAACAAAAAAAAACAAATCTTTGCCGAGTGCCTAACAAAGAAAGCGCCGCAAAGAAGGACGTGGGTCGAACACCGCTACGCTGGGGCAGCCCTATGCCGAAAGTCGCCGCTTTTGCCGAGTCGCACTCGGCAAAGAAGTCCTTTCGAGTGCACTTTTTTGCCGAGTGCCCGGCACTCGCAAATAACTCTTTGTCGAGTGTAATTCTTTGCCGAGTGCGGCACTCGGCAAAGAAGGTCTTTGCCGAGTGCCCGATTTTTAACACTCGACAAAGAATTTTGCACTCGGCAAAGTATCTGTTTCCAGTAGTGTTCGTTTCCACTTTGCTAAAAAAAAGACGGTTCATTTCCACTATTTTTTAATTATCTTCATTCACAAAGTCTATACTTTTCCTTAAAAATAAATAATACCATATACTTTATTCTCTTTCCGTTCTAAATTAAGGCCATTTTAGCTTTTTAAATTATAATAAAATACTTCCTCTGATTTTATTTGCTTATCATATTAGCTTTATCCTAAATCAAATATTTATACTTTTGACTATCGATTTTAAAAAATAATATATATGTTTATGACATAAGATTTAAATTTTAGATTCACTATGAGAAATACTTTATAATATATAATTCATATGTTGTGAAATAATAGTAATACTTTCATAATTTATAATTCATATGTTGTGAAACAATAAGGATTTTTTTGAAATGAATGGTCAAAGTTAGTAATGTTCGACTTAGGACAAAGCTAATGTGACTTGTAAAACACACGTATAATGAAGTGTATAGCAAAAATTAAGACAGGACGATTTATAATTTGGAACCGATATGGTATATATATAAAAAAGAAAAGACAGAAAGCCTTATACATATAGCACCACATTTACGGAAGAGCGACCCTAATGGATCCCTTTTTTTCTTAAAAACACAAAGCTAGTTTTTTTTTAACTCACCAATTCCTCTTTCCGAACTCAAAGTTGCACCTCAAAAAAATAGAAAGCCAAGTTTTTTTAACTCACCAAATCCTTTTTCCCAATCAAGGTTGTAAATCTCTCCCTATAGGCTCCGCTATCTCGAGATATAACTATTTGCTCATATGTACTACCTCTGGTCCATTTTATCTGGCGCACACGTATATCAAAATTCAAACTTTAATAAATTTGACCAATAATTAGGCTAATATTTTTTTACTATTATAATACAAACTTTATATGATTAGATTTGTAAGAAAATATACTATCCAATGATTATAAGTTTATAAGCATAAATAATATAATATAAAGTAAATGAATGATCAAAGTGTAATCTAAGAGACCGTATCGTTCTAACTTGCCCTAGATAAAATGGACCGGAGTGAGTATGTTTTAATCGATATACCTCTATTGGACCCGCTATGTAGAACACTGTTCCCAACTTTGATTGGCCCAGACTTCACTCCGGAGTCCGGAGAACCGACGTACTAACTCCTCGTTGGTAGGCGTCGAACCTTGCGGCACGGCACCCCAGTCTGCACGCGATGGACAAGAGGCCGCACGCGACGACTTGACAGCGCTCGCCCGCCACTGTCCTGCTTTCAGGCAAAGACTTGACAAACCGACATGACGACACGGCAAGCATTATCAAAAGTTCAGAACCTCCCTTTCACATTCATCTCGAGCTGATCACACACACACAGCCACGCACACAACCACCGTTCAATGATTCAATCGCCGTTGCACTTGCACTGCTAGCTTCGTAATAAATCTCTGAGCGAATTATATAGCCTCTAGGCGACTCGAGGAAGTTGCGTCTGCGTGTGGCGGTTGGTCCTGTTTTCCATCCGATCCCCTACGGTTACTGAAGGATCGGTGCTTCCTGATCTTGTTTGTTCATCAGAATCGTGTTTCCCATCGCATCCACCCACCCAGAGTCTGAGTGCAACTTTGTTTGTGTGCTTCCCATCCCTTCGCATCCACCCGCCGAGATTGAGTGCGGCTTTGCTTTGAGTGTGTCTCTGTGTTCGTCAGGCTTCCCCACCCGGACGTCGTATTCGCGACGGTTCGGGCTGGGCAGTACAATGGCTGGTGTTGAGGGGTTGCTGGAGAATCTGCGGTTGTCGGAGGCGGAAAGGAAGAGCGTATGTATCAATCTTGAGTCGGCAGAGAAGAAGGATGATGATCAAGTGCAGGCTGTAGGGAAGTTGCTCTCGGAGAAGTGGACAAGGCCGGAGATCATTGAACAAACGGTGGGGTGGATATGGTGTCCGGTGAAGGGGATTGAATGCAAGGATTTGGGAGAAAACATCTTCCTTTTCTCCTTTAATCAGGCATCGGGTAAGCTCAAGGCGTTGAATGAAGGCCCCTGGATGCTTTTCAAAAGAGCTTTTGGTGGTTGCTGATTTTGATGGATCGAAGTCTTTGGACGAAATCGATTTTTCTTTCATCCCTATCTGGCCGCGTATTTCGCGTTTACCCATGGGTATGATGAACAAGGCAGTGGCGATGGTGATTGGAAACGAGATTGGGAAATTCATGGAGGTGGACTTTGTCAATGATGATTTAGCGGCAGGCAGATTTCTGCATCTGAAAGTGCGACTGGATATTCGCAAACCTTTGATGCGCGGCACAACAGTGAATCTGGGTGAGGGCAAAGGTGATCGGTGGTGTCCTCCTATTACTTATGAATTTCTACCAGATTTCTGCTACATTTGCGGGATTATTGGGCATACTGATAAGCTATGTTCCAAGAAAATTGGAGTGAATGATCCATTGCCTTTTAGCAAGGACCTACCGTCACGCAGAAGAGCAGGATATGATGGGTTTCGAGGCCAGGAATCACCGAGTTTTTCTTCACGAAGAAGGGGTGGCTTTGGCTCACGGTTTGTGGGAGGTTCTGGAAGTCAAGGTGGTGAGGGGACATCTAGGAGTGATGTTTTGTCTTGGAGGAAGGAGGTAAGGAATGCTGTGGGTAAGGAGGGGAGGAGATTGGAAGGAAACTTTTTTATCGCTGGAGCTTAATGCGCCGAAGGAGACTAGGATTCTGATTCAGGGGGCAAATAAGAGCTTGGCGGGGTCTCTTGGCGAGGACCAGGTGAAAATGGTGGGAGTAGGCGTTGGTAGTGAAGGTAAAGAGTCGTGAATTGTGCCTTGCAGCCCATGCAAATTTCTCTATCTGTAGATGGGATGGGGGCGATGATGAGAAGAATAAGTCTCCTAGAAAATTCAAGAGGAAAGAGGAAACCTCGGGATAATAGAAAGAAGGATGCGCAACAAAGTACAGGGATTTGGGGGGAAGGGAGAAAAGGGATGGTGTTGAGATGGAGACAGGAAATAAGAAGGCTAGGAAGGGATCGTTGGTGAGGTGGAGAGACGTGAGCTCTCTAATGATGCAGGGCTGGCGGACCAGCTCGGCGAGTCAAAATGAAGATTATCGTATGGAACTGTCGCGGGTTGGGGAACGGCGCGGCAGTTCAAAACCTTCTGAATCTTCAGAAGGAGGAGGACCCTGATATTATGTTCCTTTCCGAAACTAAAATGGTTGAGAACAGAATTAAAGGCTTCAGGTGGAAGCTGGGATTGACAAATATGGTGGCGAAGGATTGTGTTGGGAGCAGTGGTGGCCTTGCAATATTTTGGAGGAAGGAGGTTGATGTACATGTGCGGATGATCTCTAATCGGTACATTGATGCAGACGTGAAAGAAGTGGAAGGATTTCTATGGTGAGCCTAGTACGGAGCGGAAGGATTTGTCTTGGAAGGCAATGCGTGTCCTAAACACCGCTAGGCGGAGACGGTGGTTGTGCTTAGGGGATTTTAATGAAATTCTCCTGAGTTGTGAGAAGGAGGGGGGTGTTCCAAGGTCCCAACAGTGTATGGACAAGTTCAAAAGAAGCACCGGAGGTTTGTGATCTTACAGATCTGGGCTATGTTGGGGAAGCGTTCACTTGGCGCAACAATAGCCATACGAGTTCACTTTATATTCGTCAGAGACTGGACCGTCCTGTGGCAAATGAAGAGTGGAGGATCCGTTTTCCGCTGCATAAAGTGATCAATGGCGAGCCAAGGCACTCTGACCATAGGCCGGTGATCGTGGAGACGGAGCATCGGGAGAGAGTTCTTGGCCCTCCAAGGACCAAAACATTCCGGTTTGAAGCAAGCTGGACAGAAGAGGACTGTGCGGCTATAGTTGAAAATGCTTGATTTAGAACGGTGGATGGGAGAGGAAGGAAGGTGGAGGATGCGCTCCAAGGGGTAGCGACAAATTTAGGTGACTGGAGCCGAAATATCCTTGGTGACCTTGAGAAACGTATCAAGAAGGAGAGAAAATCTTTAGAGAAGTGTAGGCGGAGGGGAATAAATAACCATAATGTAGCAAAGGAGGAGCTGCTAAGATACAAGCTGGAACGTTTGGAAGACCCAAAAAATCTATATTGCAAACAAAGAGCTAAGGTTCACTGGTTGCAAGGTGGTGACCGGAACACACGTTTTTTTCACCAGTTTGCAACAGAGAGAAAACGACGGAGCCGCATCAGTCGTCTGGTGAAGGAAAATGGTGATGTGGTGGAGCAAGAGGGGGAGATCACGAGCATGATTTCTAACTTTTATAAGAACCGGTTCTTGACCGGAGGCTCCAACAAGGGGGGTATAGGGGGGACCCCAAGCCAGCCGCAAACAACGCCGAGGGGAAGGACGGCGGCCTTTCGACGCTGGATGGCTGCCTCATGATCTTCGGAGGGTCGGCGGCGTACGACTCCAAGCGCCGCCAGAAGCTTGCGCGTCGCGAAGTCTATACGGCCGAGTCGGCCGCACCTACCTTCCTTCGATTGTCGGAGTCCGTCATAACCTTTGATCGGACCAGCCACCCGGAAAACGTCCCGCAAACGGGAAGATATTCGCTCGTGGTCGACCCGATCATCTGCACGAAGCGGCTCACCAAGGTGCTGATGGATGGAGGCAGCGGCCTCAACATCATGTACGCTAAAACGCTCGACGCCATGGGCATTGACCGAGCACACATCCGGTCGACCGGGGCACCTTTCCACGGCGTCGTGCCAGGAAAGAAGGCCGTGCCACTTTGGCAGATCGATCTGCCCGTCACCTTCGGGGATCCAACCAAGTACAGGACGGAGACCCTTACCTTCGAGGTGGTCGGGTTCCACGGAACCTACCACGACATCCTAGGATGTCCATGCTACGCGAAGTTCATGGCCGTCCCCAACTACACATATCTAAAGCTGAAGATGTCAGGTCCACGCCTACGAGTGCGAGGTCGAGTGTTGCGAACACGCCGCAGCAATTATCGCCTCCAAAGAGCTTGCGGACATCAGGGAGGAGATCGTCGAAGAAGCACCCGTCCCCAAGCAGTGAACTGGGTCTTTTGAGCCTGTAGAGGGCGCCAAGAAGGTCCTCATAGACCCAGTGGCTCCAAGGGCAAAGTGGTGCGCATTGGCACCACGTTTTCCTCTGAATAGGAAAGCGCGCTCGTCAACTTCCTCCGCGCCAACAGAGACATCTTTGCGTGGAGACCTTCGGACATGCCAGGCATTCCGAGAGAAGTCACCGAGCACGCCTTGAAGATCAGGCCAGTCTCCAAGCCGATGAAGCAGCGCCTACGTCGCTTCGACGAGGAGAAGCACAGGGCCATCGGCGAGGAGATTGTGAAGCTTTTGATGGTCGGGTTCATCAAGGAAGTATACCACCCCGAGTGGTTAGCCAATCCCATTCTGGTATGAAAAAAGAGTGGAAAATGAAGAATGTGTGTTGACTACACGGGTCTCAACAAAGCGTGTCCAAAGGATGCGTTTCCTTTGCCACGCATAGACCAAGTAGTCGACTCGACCTCAGGGCGCAAAACACTTTGCTTCCTTGATGCGTACTCTGGGTACCATCACATCGCAATGAAAGAGTCCGACTAGCTCGTGACATCTTTCATCACCCCATTCGAATCGTTCTGCTACGTCACAATGTCGTTCGGTCTGAAAAACGTAGGGGCTACGTACCAGCGTTGTATGCTCAAGTGTTTCAGGGACCTCATCGGACGAACCGTTGAGGCCTACGTGGATGACATCGTGGTCAAGTCCAAACGAACTGACCAGGTCGTAGCCGACCTAGAGCAAACCTTCGTGAAACTCTGAGCAAATGGCATTAAGCTCAACCCCGAGAAGTGCGTTTTCGGGGTCCCAAGGGGTATGCTGCTGGGGTTTATCATCTCCGAGCGTGGCATCGAAGCCAACCTAGAGAAGATCTTGGCCATCATGAGGATGGGCCCGATTCAGAACACAAAGGGGGTACAGTGAGTTGTAGGGTGCCTCGCCGCGCTCAGCCGCTTTATCTCGTGCCTCGACGAACGAGGTCTCCCCTTCTATTGGCTCCTGAAGAAGGTCAACCGTTTTGAATGGACGCCTGAGGCCCAGGAAGCACTTGACATGGTCAAGTGACTTCTGACGAAGGCCCCGATCCTGGTCCCTCCGACCGACGGGGAACCACTTCTGCTCTACATCGCGGCCACCACGCAAGTGGTCAGCATCGCCCTGGTGGTAGAGTGAGAAGAAGAGGGACACGCCCTCAAAGTACAGTGTCCCGTGAACTTATTAGCGAGGTCTTGACCGATTCCAAGACTCACTACCCCAAATCCAGAAACTCTTGTACGCTGTCCTTATCGTCAAGAGGAAGTTACGTCACTACTTCAACTCACAATCAGTGATGGTCGTGACGTCCTTCCCTCTCGGCGAAGTCATCCAAAACCGGGATGCCACAGGAAGAATCGCAAAGTGGGCACTCGAGCTGATGGACCAAGGCATTTCATATGCCCCTCGGACGGCCATCAAGTCCCAAGTGCTGGCTGATTTTGTCGTAGAGTCGACCGAGGTCCAATTGCTGCCAGCAGTCATCGACCAAGAGTACTAGATGATGTACTTCGATGGATCACTAATGAAGAGAGACGCCGGCGCGGGGCTAGTCTTCGTTTCGCCCCTTGGGGTACGCATGAGGTACATGGTTCGCATCCATTTCCCCTCCTCCAACAATGTAGCCGAGTATGAGGCGCTCATCAACGGCCTACGCATCGTAATCGAGTTGGGTATCCGACGGCTCGACATCTAGGGTGACTCCTAGCTAGTCATTGACCAAGTCATAAAGGAATCAAGCTACCACAACGCCAAGATGGCTGCATATTGCCGAGAAGTCCGCCAGCTGGAGGACAAGTTCGACGGTCTCGAGCTCAATCACATTCCGACGCGTTGGTGAAAATGGTGTTCGGTCGAGAGCCGGTGCCGACAGGCGTCTTCGCCAGCGATCAGTATAAACCCTCGGTCCGCTACGAGGAGCCGAAACAAGCCGGTGATGGGCCGCCTGTCCTGGGCTCAGAGGCTAACCGACCGTCGGCTCCATTCGACCCCAAAGTCATGGAACTTGATGAGGATCCAGCAACAGAGCCCAACCATCTGGGCGACTGGAGGACGCCTTACCTCAACTACCTCCTCCGTGAGGCGCTACCGATGGACAAAACGGAGGCTCGACGGCTCGTGCGTCATGCCATGTCCTTTGTCCTTATTGAGGGCAAGCTTTATAGGCGAAGCCACACCAGGATCCTACAGCGCTGCATCCCCATCAAACAAGGAAAGTGGTTGCTGAGCGATATCCATGGTGGGGTCTACGGTCACCATGTCGCGCCTAGAACCCTGGTTGGAAACACATTTCGACAAGGCTTCTACTGGCCGACCGCAGTAGCCGACGCTTAACAGATTGTAAGTACCTGTGAAGGGTGTTAATACTACGCTCGGTAGACCCACCTGCTAGCCCAAACACTCTAAATGATCCCCATCACGTGGTCATTCACGGTCTGGGGTCTCGATCTGGTCAGACCTCTCAAGAGGGTGCCTAGGGGCTATACACACTTGCTTGTCGCCTTAAACAAGTTTACAAAGTGGATAGAGGCTCGACCGATCTCTGCAATCAAGTCCGAACAAGTCATGTTGTCCTTCCTTGACATCGTCCATCGCTTTAGAGTCCCGAACTCAATTATCACAGACAATGGCACGTAGTTCACCGGGAAGAAGTTCCTTCGATTCTGCGATGAATACCAATCCGCATCAATTGGGCCGTCATGGCGCACCCTCACACGAACGGGCAGGTGGAGCGCGTGAACGGCATGGTCCTATAAGGCCTCAAACCTAGGATCTTCAACCGGTTGAACAAGTTTGGCGGATGATGGGTCGCGGAGCTTCCTACGGTACTCTAGAGTCTGAGGACGACCCCCAGCCGGGCCACCGGCTACACACCGTTCTTCATGGTCTACGGTTCTGAGGCTATCCTCCCGACCAACCTCAACTATGGTGCACCAATGGTCAGGGCGTACGATGAACAGGGAGCCGAGGCGTCCCTCGAGGATGCCATGGACTAGCTAGATGAAGCACGCGATGTTGCCCTCCGCTTGGCCAAGTACCAACAAGCATTATGTCGGTACCACAGCCGTCGAGTTCGGGGACATGCCTTCAACATCGGGGACCTGGTGCCCCGCCTCATCCAGAGCAACAAGAACTGCCAGAAAGCATCTAGGCCTCTAATTGAGTTTCGGTGATTAATGACAATATAAGATTACTGTGACTAACGTGTGTTTTGCAGAGGCATTTAAGTTAGGTCACGGTAATGGAGATCAATTGGGCAATCTTGGTTGTCATGCCCCTACGATGGAAATCGTTTTGGTTTGCAAAGGATGGACAACAA